TATTTAAATTCATAATTAATTTCGCTTCAATTCTATTCTAGTTAGATTATCACCTCGTAAGATGTCGAAGAATATTTGTTGGTAGCAGAACATTTGAGATTCCGGCCCCCCTCAAATCATCCTCGCCATAGCCAGCAAATGAGGCGAATATTAAGTCTGGTTGTAGAATGGTTATTCTTCACTTTGTATTCGAAAATTGTGCATTTGTTCTTTGGAAGTTGTATTGTAGTTGTTCTTTGTTTAATTCACCTTTGGGTATAGTACTGTACTTACGATTGTGAATTTCTTCCCTGAAGTTTGTACTGTAATTGTCTTTTAAAGTGCATCATTGAATATAGCATTTTTCGGACTAAAGATTTATATGTATTTATAACGTTCAAGATAATTACGCAACATTAATGATTTATAATAAGACATTTATTGTTCTCGTTAGTAAGACAAACGAAGGCAAGGAAAACAAAAACGCAAAGTCAAAGTTCATGTTCCTTAACTGTTTGTTAATGCACGTAGTAATACGTTTAGAGAGTTTGGAGCTCTCATGAAATCATTGCAATTGATAATTCCCCAAGGATACAAAGTATATCATAGTCTCAAAGAACCGCATAAATGAGATATCAATTAAAGTCTGGTAATCGATGAAAATAAGATGAGAGGTAAGGTCATACTAGAAATGGATCACAATTAATGAAGGAAACAGCTACATGGAACCTTGATCGTGATGGGTGACCTCCTGGCTACCAACCTTAGAGACTCAATCCGGTCGACATCGCGGAGCTCATCGAAGGACGTGCGGGCTTAATGACATCGTTTGGACTCGTGACTGCCGCGCTAAGTATCCAAGATGGAACAAAGGACGAGGATGGTTGTGCACGGACATTGTCTATACGATGTTTGAGTCGATGATCAACTCTGAGAAGGCAAACAAACTAGCAGCGCCCAAGAACTGATCCAGCTTCTACAACACTTACCGGATCTATTCGACGTACCGCTTCTGCCCTGCCATAGAGCCGATACGCCTTCGCGAAACCAAAATGCTGGGACAAACGAGGACAATTCACTGACGGAATCCGCCGTTGCAACTGCAACTACTCGACAACCGCGGATAGGACGCCTTTCGGTGCGATCGAAAGTTAATCCAAGGGAAAGACAGAGGGAAAGACCGGCGGTGTTCGTCTTGGGAAGAAGGTGTTGAGTCCCTAGCTTCCACCCTACCGTGATCTCACCTCGCGGATCGGCACCCTGCAGGTATCGTGGAGACCATAGATTATCCTTTTTGAGCCGTTCATGAGGCCCTTTTTGAACAAAAATTTATTCTACACTTGTCTCTAGTATGTCCTCTTCAAACGCTGTTCCAGGACACAACATATTTATACACCAATAGGTGCTGGAAATTTCACCTTGCAATTTGTTTCAAGTGAAAAAGTAGTCAGCGGAGAAAGGAGGAGGGGCAGCGCAATTCTAAACTGTTAAGGAGCAAGAGTAGCCGACTGTGCAAGTTCATAACAATTTAGGAAGATCCCATAAGATATCTGTTTACTAACTAAGCCTAAGAAGCGAAGGAGCTGTGCGTGTTCGAGCCAAGTGTATGGTCAATTCTTATCATCTCAATCATCTCACTAAGCGCACTAACACAGAATCTATCCTACCGCCTATTCCATTTCCATGTTCGTTCTATAAAGGGGCGAAAGCTTCGCCCATGCAAGACCCATGAAGTTTTTATTACTTTCATCAGGAGTGTTTGAAAATTTCAAAATACATGGTCACGATAGGATCTCAAACATGGTGAACCGTGAGTGATAAAGAAGGGTGGGTCGTGGTTCTACCTCGTTCACTGGATCGTGAAATCACGGAGCTCCACCTTAATGATTCTTCTGTATATAGTCTGTATGTAGTCATTTCACGGAACAGGCGTACCTCACTCAATGTCACGGGCCGAGTGCTTTGTGGGTTTCATTTGGAAAGGCAGTAAAATTGGACAGCATGCTGATTAGAAGACTAAAGTTGGACATACTATCGTGCCCGTTTTTCTATAGCCCGATCAAGAATCATAAGTTGTCATGCGGAGGTGAAAAAAGAGCAGATGCTAGTGATTACAAAAGTAGACACACTATCAACTGTGTAGGAGAACCAAGGGACCGTATTTTCTGCTTCCTCAAAAAATTGTTGGCCAACTACTCTGATACGTACCTTCACTTTTGCCTGGCACCAATGGAGTTATTGATATCCTGTGTCACGTAGGCTCCAAAAAATCTGCATAGTGGAGTCATTTGATGTAAATGCGCTTTATACGAACGCCAACAACAACGAAGCTCTCCAAGCGGTCTCCGAAATGCTGGACGAGCATGAAACGGAAATGGTGGCATTCGGATTGAACAAGGTTCATATCTGGTTCTTAATAAATGAAAAAAGAAAAGCAAAAAAGAAATGCCTCATTTGTAATACTTTCAAGTGGAGCGGGCAGTACTTCTCTTCTATTTTCTAATACATGGCGGNGGAGAATTTTTCCTCTTACTAAAACAAAGTAAGAGCTACTTGGAGTTTTCAAAAAAACAGGTATCCCTAGGAATTCGTATCGCAGAATTCGAATAGTATAAGTTTCGTCGCCCAAAATTCACTGGTAAGCCCGGTGATAATGAGATGTCCACGTACTTTCGTTACGTACTATATGGGGGAACATGGCTCGCCGAGTCTACCACAATAACAGCTAGTACAGCAGCGGAACTGAAGGCGGCGATCCTGGCTGTTTAGGTCTGTTGACGATACGACCACAGCAAACTTGGTTCAGAGCGTACCTAATAAAATGTTCGAGCTCATCAGGAACTCAGGAGGGTCGATCGATTACTGGTCTCATTCATATTCCTTTGTTTTGTACAATGTCCACATACTTTTGTTACGAGAAAGACTTGCTTAAATAAGAAAATTCGAAGCTTTTTGAAGTTTTCGAAAGAACAATCATACAATTAGGGTCTTTCCACCCGAGTATTAGTATAATAGAGGTATTTTGGCTCAAAATTAAATGGCAAGCTCGGTAAGCCGAAATAGTGAGGTGCCACATACCTACCTTTGTTACGCACTTTATCAATCCCCACAATCAAAGCTCACACAGAAGATGTAAGGCAAGGGGCCGTCAGTCATAGAAATGCACTCATACTTGTTATTCGTGCTTGGATTTCGGTGCCATATGGAGGCGGACCATCTCCTCACTTTACTATTAGGTTGATGCATAATTATTGCGGATTTTTTCGCGCCTTTTTTTCGATAGAATTTGGATATTGAGTTCGGGTTTTTTCTAGAAATGATCTACTTGATTTCCTCTTCAAAAATGTACTTAGAAAACCATCCGCATATTCGCGCAATTATGCTCTACTTTTTCGAGAAATGTTGGAAGGTGACAAAGTCATTCCGCGATCTCAGTAACTTTTCGGCGATGGAACAACCAGCCAAAGCCAACCAAAAAATGGGATCTGCTGCTAAATCTGCCATATTCACCAGCAGAAACTTCTATGGATTATCTCGTCAACCGTCCGCTGAAAAAAAATGGCCAGGGAATAGAACTTACGTCGATTTGGATGACTTCATGGCCGATGTCAAGGCGTTCATTGCCCCCAAGGAACAAAAATTCTTCGTCTGTGGAATCCGACTATCTAACCAGTGGGAAGCAGTGCTTGACGAAAATGGTGGAAAAGTTCCGGAGTAATCATTTGAACATGTTTTTGTTTAGTATCTTTATCGTTCCATTTTAAAAAAATGTTTGAAAAAAGTTACTGAGATCGCGGAATGGCTCTGTAACCTTCACACCTTTCTCGAAGCACTAGAGCCCAACTTCGCGAATGTGCGGATGGTTTTCCAGGTTCACTTTTGTAGAGGAGATCAAGTAGATCATTTCTAGAAAAAACCCGGTTTCGATACTCGAATTCTATCGGGAGAAAAGAAGCCGCGAAAAAATCCGCAATAATTATGCATCAACCTAAGAACCAGAACCAGTCTTTCTACAAAAAAAAAGAGAGACGCCAAAAAGCAATAAAGAATGCTTGGCGACCATCGTAGGCAGTTTTCTCATGTTCTTAGTATATGATACATTGAAGTCAAAATGAATGTGCTATCTATAATTGAATCAATGAATGAAGGGACTGAAAGCGATTGATCTGAGTCATGAAAGAAGGTCACATCCCTTGGGAAAGTGACAAGCAAATACAAATTGGGAGTGCACTGGGTGCATAAATTTTAACGCTACCTTGCCTAAGAAAAGAGCCTGCCTGCAAAGGTAGTCTTACTTCCAACTGATGTAGCGATGCCGTTCGCGAACCCAATACATAACATTTTCTTGTTTAAAGAAAATACAAGCCAGTTTGAAAAAGAACACTCTTTCGCCTGATGATATACGAAGATAGAAAACCATTTTAATATCATGTACTTATAGTTCAACTTGAAAATTGTTTCACGATTATTAAGAAGAATTTCGGCGAATATCAGGAGGTTAGTCATGATCATCAACTTCATATGAACGAAGATATTGAAGTTTTAGGACAAGTTCAGTATAGAATATGTTTTGCTTTCACCGTTTCCATGTTTTCCTGCACTTGCTGTTGACTGGCTTATTGGAAATTCTTGACGCGGTGGTTTTCTATAAAAGAGCAGTCAGAAGATTGCCCTAACATGCTATTCGGTGAACTCTTCTGATCCAGAGGAGCTTTCATCTCAGTTTCCTTCTCGGATTTGGTTGTGTTCACTTTGTGCTATCCAACATGAAGTTTAGAGAATCATTTTAGTTGGATCCCACATTTCAGAAAAAGTAGTGCCTTCGGAAGTCTCGGAAAATTTCTGATTAGGTTCTCTTCCAAATTTTTTTTACTCCTCCTCTATACCGGTGATCTTGGCTTCGCGGCTTAAAGACCTAATGATGACATAAAGACCTTGACGATTTCTTATCTACTCACCAATTTGCAGCAATCAGAAAAAAGCCCCAGGATGACTCCGTTCCTGCTTCTGCTGCTATCCACATGTTTGAGCATCGAGGCAACTATACGGTGAGTGAAAGATCCTTCACAAGTTCACTCCATTTCTACGAAAAGTACTGATTCAGTGTGCCTCTGAAGAAAATGACTGTTCGAAGAAGAAGCTCGCCGACTGAAAACTTCGCTGCTGATTATGAGGGAAAGCACAACATTCCGGGATACTGGAGAGCCCCTAATTATGGCTCCATCACGGAAAATAAGAATATTCCTCGTGGTATAAACGAAAAGCTTGCTGATTATAAAAATGTGAGAAGCTATCAATGAAAGGCTAAACTTGGGTAGCTGCATAATTGTTTCAGACTGAGTACTACGGTCCCATCCTAATCGGTAATCCTCCTCAGACCTTCAACGTCGTATTTGACACTGGCTCATCCAATTTGTGGGTTCCGTGCGTAAACTGCTTTGAAAGTCAAGACTATTGTCTGACCCATAATCAGGTAAGGAGGCTCTACATTTTAGTGCAGATATTCGTAATAATCATCCAAATGCTTTAGTTTGACTGCAAGCTATCCCACACCTGCAAACAAGCAAAGTACCCGACCTACCCCCTCAACGTTTCTTACGGAACAGGCCAAATAAAAGGCCGTGTCGACATCGATAGCGTTTGCGTAAGTCTTAGAACCTCCTGAAAGGAGTTTTCACACACACAGTGGTTTTTCCAGTTCGACACGGATCCGAGATGGTGTATATCCGAACAAATGTTCATTTGTGCATCGCAAGTGCTTGATATGGATGTAAGCCTGAATCACTCAGGGAATGTTGTAATGGATTAAAACAAGGGAACATGGCATCTTTACTCTGGTTCCAGGGCTTTCTAATCGACGGCATTCTTGGTATGGCGTGGCCTTCAATAGCTGTCGATCACATCCCAACACCTATGGAGAGCATTTTCGCCGACAAGGTCATTTTTCATGACGTACTCATTCCACAACAGACAGTCGCGAATAATCTAGAGCACTTCGAGTGCTCGGCGGACCATGCAGAGCTCGTATGAAACAGCTTGTCGTGACTGCTCGGTTGAAAGGAAGCCATTCCCGAAATACAGCGTTAGTGGTCTTTCAAATTGCGGAATTGCAGGATGTGTGTCCGGACGCTGTCTTCGCTTTCTGGCTCAGTCGCAATGATGACGGCGGAGAGCTGACCATATGTGGAACAGACCCTTCCCGCTATCAGGTATCTCCTCGGGACTTCTTCTGATAGTTCGAGCTGAATGAAGATGTCAAGGGTCCAATCTACTGGGTGCCGCTTATCTCTGAGACCGAGTGGTCTGTCGAGCTGGTTGGAATCACCGTCGGAGCAGAATCAGATGATCCTTTATATATTCCAGTGAATTTCGTGGCAGCCGTTGATAGTGGTACAAGCAACATTGTAGGACCCTCATATTACATCCAGGCGGTGAGGTTCAGCACCTTTTTCCAATTCTGAAGTACAACTTCAACGGCTTTCCATCTTTTCCTTCTGTTTTAAGATCCTGTATCTAATCGGTGCGGAAGAATCGGTAGGAGTCGAGTGCAGTCAAACTTCCGGTTACCCAACAATCGCATTTAGTGTTGGCCGCCATAAATTCATCCTTGGAGGACAACAATACTTCGTTGAGGTACATTGACAGAATTCCCCTTGGCCTCGGCTGGCTTGTTGCTAGCAGCAATTGCTTTCTTGACCGAGATATCAATGCAACCTGGTCACATATTGAGAAGAGCTCCTAGTGTGGGAAGCCGAACCAGAAGCCGTAGGCTGAAAGTTTGTCGAGTTTTGATGAAAAATTAGAGAAATGTTTCCAAAGAACTGGTGAAATATTTAAGTTGCCTTTCCAGCGTTACGACGGTCTATGCTATCCCGCATTCCAGGGGACCCCATTCGAAAACGGTAATCTTAAAATCTTCTAGTCACTGTTTTCAGAGTGGCAAATTCATAGTTTCAGATGGTAGCTGGATTCTTGGTGATGCCTTCATGAGCAACTTCTACACTATCTTTGACCACGCAAACAAAAGTGTTGGGTTTGCCAAACTAGCTTGATTGTCATCGAACTGGTGAATGTGCCAAATAAATGTCAACGAATAAATAATCTGCTGAAAGTTATAGTTTGTTCTCGAGCCAATGATAGAATTCGCATCAAATTTAAAATGAGTGGAGAGGCGTAGAAGCGGCAGAGTAAATAGAAGCTTCAGAGTGGTCAGCACATGTGGATAAACGGGTAATGACAGTTGTTATCATCAGCCCTGGCCAATCTCGTTTCGGCAGCAAACTTCCAACTTTCATTCGAAGTTGTCGGGACGTTTGATTAAATGCACTGTTCACAAAAAAAATGGTTTCGGAGATCTGCACATGGTTTGAATTCGACGCGACCTCTGATAACATTTGTGCAGGAATGAGGTCGGAAAACGGTCTGGATAGGGCACAATAAGGGGAGAAACAGTGGGGACGGGAGGCATCCGCCCCTCGCTAGGCTGACTACGAAATCTAATTGCCGTTCATCACTTTCGCATTGGGCGAAGTTGTCTGCTTGGGTGTGTTGTCTGCTATTGCAGCCGTTGCGGCGCCTTCCTGCACTCGCCCGAACACTCCCTTAACCGCCGTTCTTCCAATGTGAAACTCGTCTAACCCCCCTTTCCAGCTTTTTTTGACCCTTTCTATTTCTTTTTGTTCATCGTTTTTTGCGCTTTTTTCGTTGTTATCGCTTTATTCTAGAGTAGTTCTATGAGTTCCCGTCAAAAAAGGTACCCTAAATTTATCGTGAACGGTGCCTTTAAGTACTTGTTGAACATTCGAGATCGAGTTATATGGCCAGTTGACGTGTAGGCCGGTCGTGAAAGTGTACAGTGTTAGTAAAGGAATGAGATACGTTGTCGTCATTCGGATATTCAACTCTCTAAACACAGCTAATTGACCAAGGAGCCCAAGACAAGCTTTAACTTCAAAAGTGAGCCTCAATCCAAATTCTTGACGACATTACTACCCCAAAATCACTTTTCATCAGTAGATCCTTGCAGGTTATTCGATAATTGTAAGTTTGCATGAGGACTAAACTGACATTTCCAATTACTTTGTCAGTGCTATCTTTGTAGGTAGTGAAACTGTCGAGAAGAAGCCGAGTGGGATTGCCCGATAGACGCATATCAATTGCAGAAGGGAATCCGGGACTACGATCTCCGTCAAGAAAGGAATATCAAGGTCGCGCTAGTGGCAGATGAAACAGTTGCTTACGCTGGCGGATCGAGAATAGATGGCCAACATTAGCCATGAGATTTTGAGATGATTGTTGGACCAAGGGGTTACTGATTGCGTCTCTGAAGACGTCAAGGAAATATCACAACTCCGTTATCCTTATTTCACGAGTTACCAAGAAAGCCTAGAACGATCAAAACGTTATGCCCCGCGTTCTTCGAGCATGGAGGTCAAAAAAACTTGAATTAAATTGTGAAAGTTATGCGATTAGAAATATGTAGTGATTTGGCATTCGACATGAACTTATGCTTCGATAGATCTGAATTCGACAAGGATGCACAACAACGACATTTGTGCTGAAGAACAACGAAAACTCTTTGCACAAGATCTGAACCACTCCTGCAAATATGCAGGGAATAAATCAGTATGTATGCGTGCACAGTTGAACAAAGCCAGTTCGTCTACCATTAGCGGCTTTTACAGTTGTTCATATAACAATATCACCCACCGCGATTTCTGTGGTGTGCCTGCTCTGTAGATAGGGCTTTCGACTTGTCAAACGCTTTGGAAGTCATTGGCAGTTAAATGAGATAGAGAAGTTCGAGCCTTCTTCGATTCATGCAAGCAGGATAGGGCAAGAAACGCCTTCTGAAAATGCTTCGATACTAAAAGTGTTGGTTGGGGACCGACTTGTACAAAAGGTAATGGGGAACTATCCGAAAAGTCATTCAATCCAAAGGAAAGCAGTACGAGGGGGCGGTTTACTAATAATCTGCTCTTCGTCACAAGAGAAAGTCTTGTATCACACCAGTCGGGCCGCCCGGCTAACGCCAAGTTTCCCTCCTTCTTATGGTGTCGCCCGGCTTCCCCGGGCGGTCCTCCTGTTTGTAAAAAATTTGCTATGCGTAAATAACTCTTCGGATTCTTCTTCTTCTTTGAACGCTCTACACCCTCAGTGTTAGCTCCGAATTGGGAACGATTTTTTCTTCAAGCCATCTTCGCTGTGTCCAGTAAAAACGTTGTATAATGTCACAGAGGCGATTATTCAGAGAAAAAAAAGGAAAGATGAGCTAAGGAAGCGTACCTCCGTGAAATTTTATTGCAATTGGAATACTTTGAACGCCCCTTTGCTAAATTGTCAATTTTCGCGCAAACACCGCCCACTGTGGGCGGAGCCTGGTCTTGCCACCAACCATTAGTGTTCCCATCCTGTTCCCATAACTTCTACCGAATTTGAACGTTCTAGGTCCACGGGGACAGAAGTTATGAATTTTTGCTCAAACTCCGCCCACTGTGGGCGGAGTCTAGTCCTGCCACCAACCATCAGTGTTCCTATCCTGCCGCCCATACTCCTATTAAGTTTGAGTGCTATAGGATTACGGGGACTCGAGTTCTGAATCTTTGCACGAACCCCGTCGACTGTGGGCGGAGTCTGGTCTTGCCACCCACCATTAGTGTTCCTATCCTGCCGCCCGTACTCCTACTAAGTTTGAGTGCTATAGGATCACGGGGACTCGAGTTCTGAATTTTCAGTCAAACACTTGTTTCTCACAAACCCCGCCCCCTTTGGGCGGAGTCCGGTCCTGCCGCCTACTAAAAGTGTTCCCATCCTGCCGCCTGTACTCGTACCAAATTTGAACGCTTTTGGTCCACGGGGACAGGAGTTATGAATTTCCAGTCAGACACACACATACACATACACACACACAAACACACCAACAGACACACTTAGCCGATTATATAAGTAGGATTCTGTTCCACCGAACTCGGTTTTCCAACTGCAGCAGAAGAAGGAAAGAGTGGTTAGTACCTTCCAGGACATGAAAACACTGCCAAGAGCACAGTTAAGAGTACGAGCCAGCAGAGCGAATTAACCTTTTTTTCTTCGAAAAACGCGAATGGTCATTCCTCGACTGGACTCTGGTTAAGGGTAGATTTTATGAAGAAAGATAGACATGCTTTCAGTATTTCTCACATGTTTCCTAAGAATGTTGTAATATGACTCAGCGACCTCCATTTTACTATCCACAGGGATGATGTAGATGTGTTCACAAATAAGAGTAAAAGGAATGACCGTTCTCAGCTATCTGTTTTATGAGTAGAAAAGAAAGGTCAGTTATAGCGCGCATGCCCATTATGTACTGTCGGTACATCGATGACTGCTACGTAATTACATCAACACAGCAAGAGATGGATTCGACATCCTCAACCTACAGCCGCAATATATCAGGTTCACTAAGGAAATTCCATATGAAGGCTGGCTTCCTTATCTGAACACGCAGATAAAGATCTCAGGTGAAGGTATCATGTGAAGTGGTGTCGGAAGAATAGAAGAACATTTTACTTCACGCAAAGTCTGCTCATTCTGGAGCTGTGAAACGTGCAGTAGTTCGTAACATGTAGAGAACGGCTACAGGAATCTGTACAGGCGAGATGGAACGAGAGGAGTCGTGTAAGTTAGCATGCGAGATGGCTATAGGACACAACAAAGAAGGTCAGGCTTAAAAACTTATTCGCTGCGGAACCGTGAGATTGTGACGCATCTCCGGCTCTCATTTATATTGGAAAAAGTCAGCTCAGAAATTCGACAGTGCATTGCTCAAGCGGATCTGGCTAATGATGTTGTCTTGGTAAATCTAACAATGGACAATATCAAACGTCATCTTATCCGCAATAGACTTTATGATCGTGCATGTTCTACGAATAACTGCGTTCCTTGTCCGTTTGGAAAAGACGGGGATTGCACACAGCGAGGGACAATGGGCCCACTTTAGTGTTGGGCCTGTGACGAATATACATATATTGGTGAGACGGGAAGGATGGTAGGCATACGTGCCAAAGAACATCTAGCAGGTAAAAGGCGTGGAATTCCCTTCACGGCCATTTGAGAAGCATCGACTAGAAGTACAAGAAGGCAACGATTTTGATATTAAATGCAAAATCCTAGCTTGTGAGAACGAGATCGGTGCTAGAGAAATTCACACTTCCCTGAACTGCAGTTTGCTACAATACTAATCCCGTTTCATAAAGAATTCAGTAGCAATGCTATGCGAACTCACACCCACCCGCCGATACTGCGACCGCTCGCTCTCATTGAGGGTTGGGAGGTCGGCCAGCTATTGAGGAGCACTTGATCAGGGTATAAGAAGGTATTCATACACCAAAATAATACCTTTCAAATTTTGCATTACCATCTACAAGAGTTTTTAAGACCTGCTAGGTGCTTTCTTGAGATTGAAAGTTCAGTGAGATGTGCGTAGGGTGATCTTCGGGGGCATTACATAAGAACTGTGTTCATAAGCCCATCCACGTACTCAAGTAGGTAACACAACGATTGCGGATGGAAATCTACTAGTAGTCACATTCCGCAGCAGAAACATCAGCGGCAAATTCTAACTCAAGCACACAACCAAAGATAAAAATTTTTTGATAAACAAACGAAAATATTCCCGACTACAATGAACCTAGCCCAGATAGAGCACAAAGGCAGGCTTAGTTGACATCTCCACCTAAAAGCGGCATTATATTTCAGAAGTTCTGCACGTTTTCTAGTACATATTCTTTTTTTTCTTGTCACGGTTGCACTATTTCGCCACTCTTTTACTTTTTGTACTGGAAAGGGATTCTTAAAATCTTTGTAAACTATGCTTTTAAACAATGTTTTGTAGTATATCAAGGGAAAGTATTGAAGCTGATGAAGCGCAAGTTTTTTCAGAAAGAATGATTCCTTCACGAATTTCTGACGAGGATTGGAAGTGGTCTTCATATTAGTAAGTGTAGATTGGTGTCATTGTGTTGCTTATTCGGACTCTTTAACAGTCGCCTATGCCAATAGAACTAGGGACTTGCTT